TATGCCACTTCAAATTCCGACTAAGATTAGTTGAGTTATGGACTTTAGCACTTCAGCCTTGAGGCATTTTTGAGTTTCCACAACATCATCACATCAGAAAAATGACAAAAAATTACAAAAAAATGGAAAAAAAAATAAAATTCTAAATTTGAATGCAGATTTTTAGAGAATTGCTCCAGAAACATTTAGAGGTATGCCACTTCAAATTCCGACTAAGATTAGTTGAGTTATGGACTTTAGCACTTCAGCCTTGAGGCATTTTTGAGTTTCCACAACATCATCACATCAGAAAAATGACAAAAAAATGGAAAAAAAATAAAATTCTAAATTTGAATGCAGATTTTTAGAGAATTGCTCCAGAAACATTTAGAGGTATGCCACTTCAAATTCCGACTAAGATTAGTTGAGTTATGGACTTTAGCACTTTAGCCTTGAGGCATTTTTGAGTTTCCACAACATCATCACATCAGAAAAATTACAAAAAAATGGAAAAAAAATAAAATTCTAAATTTGAATGCAGATTTTTAGAGAATTGCTCCAGAAACATTTAGAGGTATGCCACTTCAAATTCCGACTAAGATTAGTTGAGTTATGGACTTTAGCACTTTAGCCTTGAGGCATTTTTGAGTTTCCACAACATCATCACATCAGAAAAATGACAAAAAAATGAAAAAAAAATAAAATTCTAAATTTGAATGCAGATTTTTAGAGAATTGCTCCAGAAACATTTAGAGGTATGCCACTTCAAATTCCGACTAAGATTAGTTGAGTTATGGACTTCAGAACTTCAGCCTTGAGGCATTTTTGAGTTTCCACAACAGCATCACATCAGAAAAATGATAAAAAAATGGAGAAAAAAAATTAATTCTAAATTTGAATGCAGACTTTTAGAGAATTGCTCCAGAAACATTTAGAGGTATGCCACTTCAAAATCCGACTAAGATTAGTTGAGTTATGGACTTCAGAACTTCAGCCCTAAGGCATTTTTGAGTTTCCACAACATCATCACATCGGAAAAATGACAAAAAAATTACAAAAAAATGAAAAAAAAATAAAATTTTAAATTTGAATGCAGACTTTTAGAGAATTGCTCCAGAAACATTTAGAGGTATGCCACTTCAAATTCCGACTAAGATTAGTTGAGTTATGGACTTTAGCACTTTAGCCTTGAGGCATTTTTGAGTTTCCACAACATCGTCACATCAGAAAAATGACAAAAAAATGAAAAAAAAATAAAATTCTAAATTTGAATGCAGATTTTTAGAGAATTGCTCCAGAAACATTTAGAGGTATGCCAATTCAAATTCCGACTAAGATTAGTTGAGTTATGGACTTTAGCACTTCAGCCTTGAGGCATTTTTGAGTTTCCACAACATCATCACATCAGAAAAATGACAAAAATATGAAAAAAAAATAAAATTCTAAATTTGAATGCAGATTTTTAGAGAATTGCTCCAGAAACATTTAGAGGTATGCCACTTCAAATTCCGACTAAGATTAGTTGAGTTATGGACTTTAGCACTTTAGCCTTGAGGCATTTTTGAGATTCCACAACATCATCACATCAGAAAAATGATAAAAAAATGGAAAAAAAAAAAAATTCTAAATTTGAATGCAGACTTTTAGAGAATTGCTCCAGAAACATTTAGAGGTATGCCACTTCAAAATCCAACTAAGATTAGTTGAGTTATGGACTTCAGAACTTCAGCCTTGAGGCATTTTTGAGTTTCCACAACATCATCACATCGGAAAAATGACAAAAAAATTACAAATAAATGAAAAAAAAATAAAATTCTAAATTTGAATGCAGATTTTTAGAGAATTGCTCCAGAAACATTTAGAGGTATGCCACTTCAAATTCCGACTAAGATTAGTTGAGTTATGGACTTTAGCACTTTAGCCTTGAGGCATTTTTGAGTTTCCACAACATCATCACATCAGAAAAATGATAAAAAAATGGAAAAAAAAAAAATTCTAAATTTGAATGCAGACTTTTAGAGAATTGCTCCAGAAACATTTAGAGGTATGCCACTTCAAAATCCAACTAAGATTAGTTGAGTTATGGACTTCAGAACTTCAGCCTTGAGGCATTTTTGAGTTTCCACAACATCATCACATCGGAAAAATGACAAAAAAATTACAAAAAAATGAAAAAAAAATAAAATTCTAAATTTGAATGCAGATTTTTAGAGAATTGCTCCAGAAACATTTAGAGGTATGCCACTTCAAATTCCGACTAAGATTAGTTGAGTTATGGACTTCAGAACTTCAGCCTTGAGGCATTTTTGAGTTTCCACAACATCATCACATCGGAAAAATGACAAAAAAATTACAAAAAAATGAAAAAAAAATAAAATTCTAAATTTGAATGCAGAATTTTAGAGAATTGCTCCAGAAACATTTAGAGGTATGCCACTTCAAAATCCGATTAAGATTAGTTGAGTTATGGAGTTTAGAACTTCAGCCTTGGGACATTTTTGAATATTTTTGAATTTGTACAACATTATAACATCAGAAAAATAAAAAAAGTTTTAGATAAAATATATTTCTAAATTTGAAAGCAGATTTGTAGAGAATGCGCCAGAAACATTTAGAGGTATGCCACTCCGGCCGGCGGCTCAAAGGAACCACAGACAAGATGGCCATATCGATGCCAGAAAATCCATTTTGCTAAATTAGTTAGCAGTCCATAAACAGAAATGGTCAAGAGCTCCGTTTCGTTGTGGGTGTGTTCTGTTTGCAGCAGCTGCAATATTTGGTATAACGCTTAGTTTTTGGCAATCAAGACATGTTGAGGCACACGCACACCATCGGCCAACCACTTGTACACAAACGCCCAGTTGTCTGTGTGCTGGCCAGAAGTGTCTGCAAAATCTTGTGGTTGCTTTGCCGAGTTGGTAGCAGCCATGGTTGCTGACAGCTCATTAGGCCAGGTGTTAGGTGGCAAGGTGGCAGGCTGGCAGGATTGGAAAGATGGGGGAGGCAGCACACCATCCGCTGCATGCATATGAGTGCTGGCCAAGTGACGAATTTTGACAATGTGCGTGGAGCAAGTGTGCATTTGAAGGCTCCACCCGACCATCTATCCGCCCACAAACCGCATCCGAACACGGAGCGTTGTCAGCTGGGTGACATGACATGGAAAAACAGCGTTAACCACATGTCCAGCCGAGTCTTAGGTGCCACTCGTGTGTGCCGGGCAATCACTTGATTTGATGACCAACGGCCAACGGCCAACGGCCAAACGGCCAACGGCCAACAGGCAGGAGGATTAAGGACACATAAAATGCAGTTTCATTTTTGTGGAGCATTTTGTTGTGCTGCCTAGCAGGTTGTTGCATTCCAAGCAAATTAAGTTAATTAAAAAGTTGCAGGATTTGTGAAGTAATTACCATAAACAAGGCAACTGTGTGCTGCGCTCCAGCTTCTGCGGTTCTTGATGTTGCTGCCAGGGATTTTGCTACTGTTGCCATTACTGTTGCAAGTACACGGAGCGAAAACTAACGTAGACAGACGAATTTCGGACATGCTGTCAATTTTAATTTATTTCATTTATTACCTTAAGTGTATATAGATTTCTAGAACTAGATGGCTGAAACTGAATCTTTACAGATAGTTCTTAGTTTTCATTTAACCATTCTTTCGATTTTAATTTCTCCCTCGTTTCGCTCAGTGCATCTTTGGCGTGGATAAAGTTGTCGGCATGGAATATAAACACTTCAAGTCGTTGCGCTTGATGCGTTCAGAACCCGGTCTTCAAAAGACGCTCGGCACACGTGAGAAATTCCAGCAGCTAAGTGGGAATGGGCGCCGTGGCAGGATGTTGTGCCACTTGCCAAAGGCAGCTTCAAGGGTGCTCCAGTCGAAATTTAAAAACCTTTCACCAGGCACTGAAACAAAGGACTGGGAAGGCTGAAGCTGAAGAAGCCAAAGTCTGAATTCAGCAATGAATTCAAGAGATATGTCGGGCGGCAGATGCCAGTTGGCAGCTGGCTTAGGCCATGTGGCCATGTGGCGAGGATGGCTCGCAAAATGAGCAACTGCAACTCCAACTGCAACCGGAGACCACACGCACTCAGAAGCAATGAAAGGGGAGGAACGGTGGCCCAGAGATGGCAGTCATGTACGTCGGGAGCAGGTACAAAATGGAGCCGCAGCAACACGTCTCCTGGCGTCAAAAGCAGAGCAGGAAAATGGGCATCGGGGGATTGCCCACGTACCAATGCCTCCTCAGTAGCAGTCTCATCCACATCCTCATCCTCATCCTCGGAGCCAACTCAACTCGACTCGACAGTGGGTTTGTTATTGCCGACAGTTGCGGCCAGCCTTGGTGACACTTGAACATAACTGGGTTCTGTTCTGCGCTGCGTCTTTTGTGCAATGCCTGAGTGCACTGATTATGCACATGGGAGGCCAAAAGGACTAAAGGATACGGGATCTGACGCAGCTATAGCACAACAATGCCGCCAAGATTTACAGCCTCTTCTTGGATTGCATTTGGCTGGCGTAATTTGTTTTGGGCACCACAGCAGAGCACAGCACTTCTTGGCCAAGTCTTGAGATGCTAAGAGTTTCAGCTCTCTCTTGGTAATACATGTATCTTAAAGATGTGCTTTAATCAGCTGAGATCAAGGGCTGTTGCCGAATGAAAAGCCGAGGTAAGCTATGTTGCTGTGAAACAAGCTAAAACTTTTTTAAAGCTAGTTCTTACACTGAGCCGATAGGCCTATGAAAAATCAAATATTTATTTTGTATAATAATGCGTTATAGCATTTGCCGTATCAAGCTTTTCTGGCTCACAGCATTAATTTCGCTTTCTAGCACAGTGATAGGCACAATTTTCAAGAGTCATGCTGTATTGCAGTTTTTCAAGTGCGATAATTACTTTTTTGCTGTGGGTTTGAGAATCGTTTTGCTTTTCCTCTCGGGCTGCTTTTCTCTCTCTGAAAAGATAAGGCGAGGCTATATAAACTTAGGTGAACAATCTTCCCAGCTCAGTTGTTAATTAAGGCAAGCAGCTAATTAAATTAACAATGAGTATTTTGCAGAATGCACAGCGCGCTTTCTTTACAAATGAATCGATTAAGTTTGTGAGGACTGCTTCTGGCCAGGCACGGCTTTTAGCCAATGTGAGTCGAAATAGTGTCACCAAAATCGGATTATCCGCTAACAATTGTTATCTGCTCTTTAAGGTAGTCGATGGTGTTGTCCTGGAGGCGAAGCCCTATAAGGACATCCCACGTCCCAGTAAACTGGAGTTTGCCAGGGCATTTATGCCGGGTGGCGAATTCCACGATGCCTCAGTCTTCGATTATGCAGCAGCGATGAGGAGTCGTTATGGTGACATCTTCATAATGCCCGGCATGTTTGGCCGCAAGGACTGGGTCACCACTTTCAGTACAAAGGACATCGAGACTGTGTTCCGCAACGAGGGAAATTGGCCGGAAAGGGAGTTCTTTCCCTCGATCACATATTTCCGCACTCATTTAAGACCAGATGTGTATGGAGAAAGTGTGGGTCTGATATCCGCGTGAGTTGCACAAAAATATATACATATTTCAAGAGCGTAATTTAATGTGCAAACTACATTTTAAGGCAAGCAGCGTCGTGGGGCAAGTTGCGATCAGCCGTCAATCCAATTTTCATGCAACCCAAGGGCTTGAAAGCCTATTACGAACCGCTTTCCAACATAAACAACGACTTCATTGAGCGGTAAGATGTGGAAAATATATCTCAAAGTAGAACTGGGTCTTACTTGTTCTTTAGAATTAAGGAAATTCGAGATGCTAGAACTCTGGAAGTGCCAGATGACTTCATGGAGGAAATAAACCGGCTGGTCTTCGATTCCCTTGGCTTGGTGGCCTTTGATCGCCCAATGGGCTTGATCCGTCGCAATCGAGACAATCCAGATGCCCTAACTATGTTCCGGTACACGAAGCAGGTGTTTAGATATGTCTTTGAGCTGGATGTGAAGCCGTCCATGTGGAGAGTAGTCTCCACTCCAACTTATAGGAAGATGATGCGTCTTCTCGATGACAGCCTATTACTGTCGCAGAAAATGATAAAGGACACCGAAGACTCCCTGGAAAAGCGGCGCCAGGCTGGCGAACAGGTAAATAGGAACAGCATGCTGCAGCGGATGATGGAGGTGGATCCAAAAATGGCGGTGATTATGAGCTTGGACGTCTTGTTCGCCGGTGTGGATGCCACGTCCAATCTGCTGTCAGCTGTGCTCCTTTGCCTGGCTAAGAATCCCGACAAGCAGGCGAAACTGAGAGAGGAACTCCTGAAGATTATGCCCACCAAGGACACCCTTCTCAATGATGAGACCATGAAGGATATGCCCTATTTGCGCGCAGTGATCAAGGAGGCTCTGCGTTGCTATCCCAATGGATTTGGAACCCTACGCACTTGTCCCACTGACATCACCCTCTCTGGATACCAAGTGCCCAAGGGCAGCGAAGTAGCTCTGGGCTTCAATGTCCTTTTACATGACCATGCGTATTATCCACAAGCTGATAAGTTCCTGCCAGAACGCTGGCTACGAGATCCGCAGACAGGCAAGAAGACCCCCATCAGTGCATTCAGCTATCTGCCCTTCGGTTTTGGCCCTCGCATGTGCATTGGCAAGCGATTGGTGGACTTGGAAATCGAGACGAGCATTGCCAAGTTGATAAGGAACTTCCAGGTGGAGTTCAACTACGACGCCAGTCGACCCTATAAGACTTTTGTTTTTATGGAGCCTGCCATTCCATTCAAGTTCAAGTTCACTGATGTCGATCAATAACTTGCTCTGAAAGCCTCATACACTTATTACATATAAGCTAAATAAAACAAAGAAAATAAAATAAAGAAAACATTTTTTAGAATTGAGACTTTATTATTAAATTAGATCACACGAATGAGCTATCTTCAGCACAACAGTAGAGTCAAAACGAAAAGGTAGTAAGAGTCGAATTACTCGACTGTCAGATACCAGTTTCTCAGATATGGGAAGTATCTGGTACCCATTACCTTGCTTGTGGCACTGCGAAGGAGAAATATGAACCTCTTTTTCTCAGTTGTTTTTCAACATTTGTAAGCAGAAGTTTGTCCGCTGTAATACTCAATTTTTAAAATTTTCTCTGAGGGGTATTCTAAGTTTAAATGCTCCAAACCGGTTTTTTAGCTGGTCAATTACGTTTGTTTATTTTTTCAGCTGAGAGCGGTAGGCGATTCACGGTGATTATAACGTTTAGTTGATAAGAAACTGAAACTCATGCTTTGTTTGCTGGCTTTTGTTTTGGTTTGTGAGTTTTGCTTTTTGAAGCATTCCTTCTATTCGCTCTGCTCTCTTTTTTACGTTTCAGAGATAAGCCATTCTATAAGAACGCACTCCAAGGTGGAACCACTTTTAGTGCCAGTCGATCACCAGGAGGAATAGAATGAATACATTGAGCAGCGCGCGATCGGTGGCGCTTTTCGTAGGCCCCATTCGATCTCTAAGATCAGCCTCCGCTTTAGCACCAGATGCAGCTAAATCTGGCGTTAGTACACAGAACATCCAGTTGAAGTAGATTGATCATAATAATAACATACATTTATAGGTATCCGAGGAGTACAAGAGCTACGAGCAGATTCCGCGCCCCAACAAATTCAAATTTATGAGGTCTTTCATGCCTGGTGGTGAATTCGCAAATGCATCGCTCACGGAATACACCGCTGCCATGCGAAAGCGCTATGGAGATATCTATATAATGCCGGGAATGTTTGGCCGCAAGGATTGGGTCACCACTTTCAGCACAAAGGACATCGAGATGGTGTTCCGCAACGAGGGTATCTGGCCACATCGCGATGGTCTGGACTCCATTATATATTTCCGCAAACATGTTCGACCAGACGTCTACAGTGAGGTCCAAGGACTGGTGGCTTCGTGAGTACAACAGCTGTGGTTAATTGGTTGCAAGGTAGCAAATAGTTTGATATTTCAGCCAAGGCGAGGCTTGGGGTAAACTACGATCAGCACTGAATCCAATCTTCATGCAACCCAGGGGCTTGAGAATGTACTATGAGCCCCTGTCGAATATCAATAATGAGTTCATAGAGCGGTAAGAAATTGGCTTTTAAAGCGTTTCATTTGACTAAAATCCATTTTAATCCATTTTAGCATTAAGGAAATCCGCGATCCGAAAACTCTGGAAGTTCCCGAGGACTTCTCGGATGAAATAAGCCGGGTGGTCTTCGAGCTACTCGGCCTGGTGGCTTTCGATCGGCAAATGGGTCTGATTAGAAAAAACCGCGATAATGCCGATGCATTAACGCTCTTCCAAACCTCCAGAGACATCTTCCGGCTCACATTTGAGCTGGACTTCCAGCCCTCCATGTGGAAGATTATATCAACGCCCACCTACAGGAAAATGAAGCGAACCCTGAACGACAGCTTGAACGTGGCCCAGAAACTGCTGAAGGAAAATCAGGATGCACTGGAGAAGCGTCGTCAAGCGGGCGAAGAAATAAATACTAACAGCATGCTACAGCGATTAATGGAGATCGATCCCAAGGTGGCGGTGATCATGGGTCTGGACATACTTTTCGCTGGTGTGGATGCCACAGCCACACTCCTTTCGGCTGTTTTACTCTGTCTCTCGAAACATCCGGATAAGCAGGCGAAGCTGCGGGAGGAGCTCTTGCAAATCATGCCCACCAAGGATGCGCTGCTCAACGAGGAGAGCATGAAGGATATGCCATACCTGCGGGCTGTGATCAAGGAGACGCTGCGATACTATCCCAATGGCCTGGGCACGATGAGAACGTGCCACAATGATGTCATACTTTCGGGTTACAGGGTGCCCAAGGGAACGACAGTGCTGCTGGGCTCAAATGTGCTCATGAAGGAAGCCAAATACTATCCGCGACCAGATGAGTTTCTGCCGGAACGCTGGCTCAGGGATCCGGAGACCGGCAAGAAGATGCAGGTCAGCCCCTTCACCTTCGTGCCCTTCGGCTTTGGACCACGCATGTGCATTGGCAAGCGAGTGGTGGACCTGGAAATGGAGAGCACCGTGGCCAAGTTGATTCGCAACTTCCACGTGGAGTTCAACCGCGATGCCAGCCGGCCATTCAAGACCATGTTCGTCATGGAACCGGCCATTGCGTTCCCCTTCAAATTCACGGACGTCGAGCAATGATTCGCTGCTTATCCATGACCCTTACTTGTGTTCCTTATAGTTACGATTTTTGATTACAATAAATGTGTTTTGTCCGATGAGCTCCAGGTGAGCTCCACTGTTTTGATAAGCAAAATGTTGTGTAAGACGTTAGATAAGATTGGGCTTTGTTGTGGCATCCCTAAATTGCTTAAATTTGAGCTTTTAAAGCAACAAAGCACAGAGTAGTGGCTGTGATTATTTTTCTTGTTTTCCCCCACATTTTCCTATTTAGGCAATAGCTAGCACCCACCAAAGCCACTTTCAGCCGGCTCTGCTCCACCGCTTGGAGCTCGCAGCCTGGCAGGCTGGTGAGAGGATGTCCTTTGCCGCGCAGAAATATTTCTAATGGCAACGGCAAAATCAGGAGCAGCACCCAACAGCAGGAGTAGCAAAGCGGCAAAAGCAGACATATTCGCCTGCGGCCTGCGGAGTTATGCTAACTGGCACTCAAAGCAAAGCGCGGCCAAAAGCTCAGGTGGTTTGCCCTGTGCCTCTTGCCACCTGCCTCCTGCCACCTGCCACCTGCCACCAGCCTCCTGCTCTCGTTGCTGCTTTGGCTGTTGTTGTGCCTGCTACTTGGCACTGGCAGCTTGCAACAATAATTTAAGCGATTTTGCGCTTTTTGCGAGTGGGTTAATGGCATGCCCGGGATCTAGGAAACAACTGGCAACTGGGAGCTGTGAGCTGGGAGCTGGAAGCCTGTGAGCGGGCATCCTTTGGCGTGGCGAAAATTCCACTTTTGTAGCAAACGCACATAGCTTATGAATTCCGCAATCCTCGATGCGGTGCAGCAAAATGGTGGAGATGATGGACCGTGGCTCCTCGTCCAGTACAAAGTAAAAATGCAGAACATGTGTGCGTGTGTTTTTTGGGTTCTGGCTGGGGAAACCTGGCTTATAACAGCCAGTGCCAGAGACTGGCGCTTTTGTGTCTGCTGTACATTAAAATTCAATTTTAAAACGAGCCACGCACCACCGGGCGTATGCGTAATGCGGCATGCAATCATTTGCGTGCGCCTTCGCTTGGAAATTCCTTTGCCATAACTAATCTCGAAGGCCAACCAAGGACCAGTCCTGACGTTTCATATTTCTAGCTGGCCCACAAAACCCGGTCCAACCCTTTCCTTTTCTGCTCGTCTTTTATTTTATTTAATCTTTTTCTTTCTTTTTTTTTTTTGTGAAAAATTTCATACTCATCAAGTTGACAAAGAAAAAGTTTTTCATTATTACATTTCGCTGTCATTTGGGCGCAGAAATAGCTTGGAAAAGTTCTCGGAGCGGCGCTTTTCCTTCGTCGGCTGCCGGCTGAAACTCGAGTGCAGCGCGTAAATGAGTCACTCCCATTTTGAGTCGCCCGCCCGCAGCAGTTGGCGCTCATCATCAGATTTCCAAAAGGAAAGTGGGTGGGGCTGGCTTGGGTTAGGTTCACTGGGGTGGTGGGTGGCATGAGCGGGCCCATTGCGTAGCTCGGCGTAATTTTCTTGGCCTGCCTGACGAGTCGCATCCTTGCACATTAATCCATTGGTGCCTGGATCTCGGAACAAGGAACCCCGGAACCCCGGAACCCGGAATCCCGGAACCCAGAGCTCGGATCTTGGTCCTTGCTGCACGCAAATGAGGGTATGGTCAAATCACTCACTGTCAGCCCGTGTCCCAAGGAATGCGTTCAGCATGTCCTTTAATTTTTTCTCCCTCTGAGACCAGTTCCATTCCCCTTTTCTGCACTCGAACAAAAAGGCGAGTTGAATGTATCTTTCTCCAGCTCAGATGCTTTTGTAAAGATACAAAATGGCACTTTCATTTTAAAAACACTATGAACGATTTATTAATTATTTGTAATACTCTCGTTGCTTTAGAAATTATTAATTGAATGTTCCTTATATTTTTTTTTGAGGCTACTGAGCATCAACCCATTGATTAGCAATTCGGCTGACACTTTTCTTATTGTGCAGGCACTAGCATTTTCTATAACTTGACGTTTGCCATTGCCCCCCGCCTCGGCTCTCCCCCGCCACTCTCCATTTTCCATTTCCCATTTCCCATTTTCCATTTTCCGTTCGGCCCCCCCTTCACCCTTCCCCGGCCCCCTTTGTCCGGCTTGTACTTGTGTTGCTTCGCCTGCCGCTTTGCTGCCTGTCAGCGCAGCTTAAGATAAAAACTTTCCTTTCCACCCGAAAAAGGGGCGAAGGCGGCAACACCGGCCAGAAAAGCCAGCTAAAAAAGGAAAAAAAAGCAGGCAGAATGGCTCGAAAGGGTTGACTCTGACATTTAGCTTTCGCATATTTGCACACACCCCGCGTCCCCATCCGCCGACAATATATTTTATAGACTAAGGCGAAGACATGACAAATGCTCAAATAGAAATTCTTCAACAAGATTCTTGGCCGAAACTTAAGTTCATTTTTTGGTCGTGCACATCGCATGGGGGCATTTGTATGAGCCTCACCAGAAAGAATTCAAATTAAAATGCGATTGCTCTGGGGCTACACTCGATTTTCGTGTGTTTTCTGACACGGCCTGTCGATGGTTTTTGCATTTGTCTGCAAGGCTGAATTTAATACAGGACACTCTATGTTTTCAGAGCATGGATTGGTTTCACATTGATTTCATTCAAATTAAAAACGAAAAAAGAGTTCAAGAAGCGGCTGGTGTTCCAAAACAATTTGAAAATTGCCTGATTGACTTGGGTACTGTAATTTAATACAACAGTACAGCAAATGCTTAGCTCAATTTATCAAGGAATTGATGAAGTCATCATTTGAATCAAACAGGTCGATGTAAGAACCAAGCTTATTGAACAATTAAAAGTAATGTTTCAAGTACGATGAATATTTTTTTTCAGTAATTCACATTGCAAGCAAACTAAATGTGATAAGTACTACTACTTCAAAGAATAGTATCATGTGAGTTTAGTTTTAGTTTAGTTTAGTATATGAAGTGGCTTTTAAATACTCTATACTTTAAAGTTTGAACATTTTCCGGGCTTATTCATTTAGTATTCAAAACCATTTCCTGCTTCTACAGGCATAATTTGAAACATATGTCCGTTCAGCTGACGCTCAGATGTTTTCCCGCTTTCCACGCGGCCACTCGAAGTTTTCATTCATCAGGCGCAGCGCACACGCATTGCCGAATTTGCACCAACACCAGTGCAACGGGGTCACCCAATTTCCACCCAATTTCCAACCAAAACACCCACTCATCCGAAGCAGTCCAACAACCCAGACACCCGCGCAACTCACTCACCCATTCATATATTTTATGTTTTGTTTACATTGCCGGCTTGTGCAGCCCAAACAACAACTGATTCTATGGAAAAAGCGTTGGGAAAGCCTCGTGACGTCACTGGGAAAGTGCGTGCTATAAACCGAAGCGCCAGTATAAGAGAAAACTGTTATATGGCCAAAGAGAAAATGCGGTAGGGAAGGGAACACAAATACGAGTATATAAACGATACGAGTGCGCAATTAAGGAAGGAACTCGCAATTTGGCTGCTCATTTTGGAGCGTTTTGCGGTGAGTTGAAACTTCCGCAAAATGGCCGAGAGAGTGTGGGAAAGAGAGAGCGAGTGGGCCGGCGAGAGCGAGAAAGAGCGAGTTCGCAACGTCATCGGCACAGCATCAACAAGCTTACTGGCTGCTAAAAATCGTCATTACGCTGAGATCATTTATTCCCATCGGCGAGGAGCGAGAAAAGTTGTCGCAGAAACGAGTCAACGCTCGAGTACGTCGGTCATTGCGCTGTGTGTTGCACTTTGTCGGCTAACACGCACACACACACGCGCCCACCCGTTAACACACGGCACACACACACGCGGAATCGAAAGAGAAACAGAAACTATTGCATACCGCCAGGCGCACATGGCGCTTGCTGCTTGCGTTGGTGTGCGTGCGCCTTTGTGCTTTGTGCTTGTGATATCTGAAAGCGGTTTCATTGAAGGGGACTTCAGCATGTTTTAAAATACATAGAGCACCGGAACTATGCACATACTGCCACCAAAACGCCAAGTGCTTTCCAACAACTGTTTCGAAAAGTGTAAGTTGATTTCACTCACTCAATACTAGAATAAACAAATTAATTGATTGAAATTATTGCTGAAATATAAACTGCATTGAATTCCAAGCGAAATACCGTACTTGCATACAAACTGTAGTGGAAACTCGCACTTTTTCTTCTATTTTTACCGGCTTGCCAATCGCAAGCGCTCTCTTAGCGGTTCTCTTGCGCTCTTTTTGGCCAACTCGCCTGCGCCAGAGCCAGGATAAAAAGAAAAACGGCAACTTATAAGCGCAAAAACAAACTAAAAAGAGCGCCAAGAGCGTAGTAAGCGGCGTAGTTCAAGTGCCGGTTGTACTACGCGGGGTCAAAGGGTAAGAGATTGGGGCTGTTTTGGGTGGCAAAGGTTGGTGGGGTTGGAGGGCGCTAAAGTGGATGGCTGGTAAGCAGCTTCACCTGCAAAAATATTCAGAAGGCGCGCCTTCTCATATCATTAAAATTCCATTTTGTCTGGCTACCGACTTGTGCATCGTTTTCCACCTGACTCCCGTACACTTTTTCTGGCAGCGACTCCATCTTTGTTGTGGCATTATTGTTATGGCACACTGTATCGCCCAGACTCTCGACTTCCGGTGTTGCACGTGTCGCATGTTTGCTGCTGCCTCCTTGCTGTGAAATTTCCGCAGCGGCAACAAAAGTGCGAAATAATGACCGACTGCCTGTCACATGGCTGACTGGCTGACTGGCTGGCAGCCTGTTACTCGAATTCGCATCGCCTTTGGGCCGTTTTGCCTGGCCCAACGGATGTTGTCTGTAAAGTTGGTTAAACCATTTATTTGCCCAAAACAAAGCATGTGGCCGTTGTACCAGTTCGTTGACCTTTCACACCGGCCATGCCCACCCACTCCCCATTCCCAACTAGCTTGCTGCATAATTAATATGCTGATTAATATATTGCTTAACCCACAAAGGCTGCCTGTCATTAAGGTCCTTTCAATTGCCTTCATCAGTCGCCTTGCCTTCACGAAAAAAGTGAAAAATTATCCACCTTGCTGGGCTGGCAGTTTTTTA